GAAGGAGATGATAGTGGACATGAGGAAGGAGAGGAGAACTCATCAGCCACTGTTCATCCGGGGGCTCGAGGTGGAGAGGGTGAGCAGCTTCAAATACCTGGGCGTCCACATCAGTGAGGACCTCACTTGGACACTTAATACCACACAGCTGGTCAAGGAGGCCCAACGACGGCTGTACTTCCTGAGGAGGCTGAGGAGGCTTGATATGTCGCCTAGGATCCTTTGCAACTTCTACAGCTGCATCATTGAGAGTATCTTGACCAGCTGCATCACTGTCTAGCATGGCAGCACTACTGCTATGGACCACAAGCGCCTGCAGAGAGTGGTAAAGACTGTGGAGAAGATCACCAGGACTCCACTGCCCTCTCTGCAGAGCATTTACCACCGCAGGGTGCGTAGGAAGAATGCCTCCATCCTCAAAGATCCCACCCACCCCCAGCACGGACTGTTCGCTTCCCTACCCTCTGGCTGGAGGTTCAGAAGTGTGAAATGCAGGACCACTAGACTGAAAAACTCTTTCTTTCCCTCTGCCATCAGACTCCTAAACAGCTGAGGAGTTTATTACCAGGAAATATGTGATGTACTGTTTACATTCTCAGTTTGCACATGCATAATTGCACATTGACTCTTGACTGCTGCACATGCTGCTCCCATGCAGCATACATTCTCTTATTATATTCTTATATATTTTTCATTATATTGCTGCATTTGTTGCTGCTTAAAGTGCCTTAGATTTTGTGTTATTTATTTATCTACTTTACATTTGTATTTTGTGGCATTCATGTGGACAGCAAAGTAAGAATTTCAATGTACAGGGAAACACGTTTCCTAACTGTGCATATGACAAATAAACACTTTGAACTTTGATAACTCCATCGAGATAAACTGCACCTCAGCTGGAACGCTCCAGCTGCAGTGTAACTACTCAGTGACCAAAAGGTCAGACTGTGGCTTTACTGGACAGCGTCCATGTGTACATATGTGTATCTGTGTCACCTGATGATAGGTCTACTTAAAGCATTAAATAAGTAATATATTGTAGACTAGAATTATTATAAATTGTCTTACGTTTGTGTGAACTATTGCAAATATTTTCTAAATATACTCCTCCTGCGCTTTAAATGTAGCTGTTTTAAACATGGAAATATTATGAAAGCAGGACAGTGCCGACACTCACAGATTTAACCAGTTAATCCTCGTGGCCACTCGTGGTATTGCAATGAAAAATCCCCTTGCGACCCAAAATGCATGTTCTCAAAAGAATCTGGCTGCAGACAAGATGGCGGACCGCCAACCTAAGCAGGAGGTGGCTGATATTAGCCAAAAAGCATAAGCTGTATATAAAAATGGACGACACGTCACTACTTCCCTCCACTAATCAAAGGTGAAGCCAAAATATTGTGAATATGATGGCCGCCATCTTGGCAATTTGCAACCAGATTGACAAGTGGAGCGACAGCATCAGAGTGAAAGCTGCCAAATGTTTTATCAGCTGATTATGAGCCAGAATTAAAACTTTCTGGTTGCCAGGATGTGAAAGGTCACTTTGACTCTGAGACCAGCAGCTGCAGAACATATGGAATAAATTTAGTGTAAGTAGCACTTAGAACTGCAAACTCAATGGTTAACTTAATTTACGACTTTATAACATTCATAGCTGAAAAATGTCGTCAGAGGACATTGTTGGCCATGGACTGAAACACCACCCAGTGGGATAAATGCCTCCTGCTCGCCACCAGTCAGACAGAACTGAGGAAGCCTCTTGGATGAGAAGTGAAACGTTCACGTCCAGATGTCTTCTGAGTTTTTCAGCACGCTACGACCTGGATGACTGAGAAATTGCACGGACATATAATTATAGCATTAGTACCAAACACAATAAAAACATCCACTAGTGATATTGATACCTCACAACCCACAAATTACTCAATTTTATATCTTTAAAATTATAGTAAATAAAAAAAGTATAACGTATAGTTACAAAGGATAAGCCCTTTATAAAGGTTGTCTTTTGAGAAAGTAATATTGGTAAAATGATCACAGCTCCTTTCCGATTACAAGCTTTGTGAATATTGTTCTAAACTCTTCCGAGATCAGCCAACAATGCAACTCTGTTGTGTATCCTGTCAATCTTTCCATTTGCTGCTTTCAGAATAAAAGTCTAATAAACGAAGCTACGTTGAGGCTGGTTTTTAACGTGATGATCCTTTTATTTTGAATACGGATTCCTGTTACATCCGGTGTTCCTCACACTAAGTCTGACCAGCCTAAATACTGTATTATAGCATCATCCAAACACTAGCTTTCTGAGTAGCTTTTAGCTAGCTAAAGTATCCTCAAGCTAATCTAAACTAATCTATGAGTCGCAAAAAGACCTACACTTTCAGTGAAACGAGCCTGTCTCCTGAACTCCACGGCGCCTTCATGGAGCCTCCCGGTTCAGCGAGCCGAGCCGAGGGCGATTTTCTGGAGCTGGAACCCGACGAGGAGCTGCTCTGCACGGTCAGCGACATCACCGAGCATCTCGGCAGAAATATAACTGTGGTACTTGAGACAGCGCTGTCTGAGATCCGCAAGATGGTCAGCATCAGAATACGAGTCCTGAAAATGGAGCTACGCGAGAAGAGTGAAGAAATCGAAATGTTAAAGGCCAAACTGGATACAGCGCAGAGGGATGGTAGAGACCCTTTCCCCGGCGTTACGACCACGGAGGCATCTATAGAGACTGGCTACAAAAAACCGGACTTCAGCCCTGGAACCAAGCACAACAACGCCGATCCGAGGAGAGCCAAAGCTGTCATGCCTGGTGTGAAAAAGGAGAATATAGATGCTATTTGTGACTATCTAATGAAAGACAAGAACTCGAAAGGTTGTGCTGAAATGGAGGGAGACCAAGCCAGCGGCGACAGGGAGGCTCGCCAGGAGCAGGACGCGCACTCCCTCAACCTGTGGCCGGACAGCGGGATGGCTGGCTCCAGGCCTGGGCACGGAGACTCCGAGTCCACCACAGATGACATCTTCAGCATGCTTCCTTCTGGCAGCAAACGGATGTATGACTACGAATGGATAGCACCAATGGAGTATTCCTCAGAGCTGAAAGGTACACACGGATACAATAAGTCTTGTGTGGAGGGGTGTTCCTACACAAATGAGGCCATGTGTAATCTATGGAGGTCCCAAAAAATATACTATTGCTAACATTCACTGCAAGCTTGTTTGATTAGAGACTCTAAATTAATAGTGTCTGGGTGTGTCAGCTTTGTGACTGACCTGGTGTACCCTGCCTCTCACCCAGTGTCACCTGGGACTGGCTCCAGCCCTCTGCTGCCCTGTAGCAGATACAACTGATGGCGGATGGATTAAATCAAAACTATGTAAAGAGAAAAGAAGAAATGGTGCTGTGAAATATGAGATTGTATACAGTCCAGAGGAAGCAATAGGGACCCCTTTCAGCTGTGGTGTCAGCTTCAGCACCAGACAAAAATTGACAATCAAATAAGGCTGAATGATACGGTGACATTTACTGTAAGGTTGTGTTATTGTCCACTTGTTTGCTGCCACTATGGCAAAACAAACAAAAACAGAACAATGTCAACGTGAAAGTAGCCAATGACGTACATAAGTAGCAGAACATAGGGCTAGTGATATGGCAAAAAATATAATGACAGTATATTTTACTTTTCTAATATCTAATTACTGATACATATCAAATCAAATCAAATTTTATTTGTATAGCGCCATATCACAACAAAAGTCATCTCAGGACACTTTACAAAGTAAGGTCTAGACCTTACTGTTATCAATATTATTACATAGGGAAAACCCAACAAATCCCCCTTGAGCAAGCACTTGGCGACAGTGGGGAGGAAAAACTCCCTTTAACGGAAGAAACCTC